TGACCCTATGAACAACAGATCTGAACCCTGTCTACCCTGTGCCATCCTCACACTTCTTGACACACTTGAGTCCCTTTCAGTAGTCATTTTGTCAACCCATCTGGTTGAGGGTCTTCTCTTTTACCAACCTTCTACCTTTCCAAGCATGATGTCCTTCTCCAAGGCTATTCCTTACAAAATGTCCAAACTATGTAAGACTAAGCTTTATCATCTTTGCCTCCAAGGAGAACTCTGACTACACCTCCATGGAATATTCAGTACTCTTCTCCAGTATCAGAGCCCAAAGGCATCAATTTTTCTTCTGCCATCTTTATTCATTGTCCAGCTCTCAGAAAGACAGTTAGTGATTGAAAAGAGTATGGCCTGAATCAGATACATCTTAGACCTTAAACTGACATTATTGTTCCTCAACAATTTGGAAAGGTCCCTAACTGCAGACTTGCCCAGTGTCACACATCTTCTGGTCTCCTGACTGCTGGTACCAAGGGTATTGATTGTGGACCCAAGTAAAATGAAATCACTGACAACTTCAATCTTTTCTCCATTTATCTTAATGTTGCCTATCGGTCCAGTGGTAAGAATTTTTGTTTTCTTGCCATTGAGCGGCAATCCATATTGAAGGCTATATACTCTGCTCTTGTGCAGCAAGTGTTTTAATTCCTCCTCACATTTAGCAAACAAAGTTGTGTTATCTGTGTTATGCAGGATATTGATGGGTCTTCCTCTGATCCTGATGCCAAATTCTTCATAGATTACAGCTTCTTGTATAATTTGCTTAGCATATAGATTAAATTGATATGGAGAGAGGATACAACCCTGATGTACTCTTTTCTCCATTTTAAACCGTGCAGTGCTGTCTTGCTCTGTTTGCACAACAGTCTCTTGGTCTAGGTATAGGTTTCACATGAACACAATTCGGTGTTCTAGGATTCCCATTCTTCTCCATTTTAGCCATAGTTTTTTTATGATCCACACAGTCAAATGTCTTTGCATAGTCAGTGTCTAAAAAGCAGAAAATGGGACGTGAGGGCATAGGGCCATGAGCGTTTTCCATAAGGGCCACAGGGAGTGAGAATAACACAACATTTCACCACCCCAGAACAGAAAGCACATAAAGAGTCCTTAGCTCAACCCCATGGTGCCTGTAGGGCCCCACCAGCAGCAAGAGGTTCGTTTATTCATTGCTGGTTCAGAAACTCACAGTTATGGTACCAACAATGGCATTTATTAAGGAAAAAAGTTAAGAGAGTTGTAGAGGCAAAGAATATCACCCAAAATAAGTCCAGATTTTAGCCCAAGCTCCAAGACACAATTCCTCAATTAGTCCAGGCTCTGGTTTCAGTTCAGCAGTCAAATCCAAATCATCCAGCAAGGTTTGCCTCAGAGTAGTTATAAGTCAGCTTCTCCTTGAAACATCCAGCAAGAACAGCCAAACCTTTAACTATGGCCAGCTCAAATGCAAGAAGCCTCAAGTCTCTCCACTACCAGGGTCTCGCACTCACTAGGGTCTTGCCACCACCACAAGCCTTGCTTACGTCAAGTCTTGCTGTCCCATGTGTCTTATCATAGTTCTGTAACTGTTGATGATTTACAAGACCATGCTGATTTGTAAGATCACATGTCTGCCATTAAGGTAGCTGGAGACCAGCGGGGGCTAACTGTAATGGCTTAAAAACAAAACAAAACAAAACAAAACAGGGGAGCTCTGGTAGCCTAGTGGCAAGAAGCTGCACTGCAATCCCAGAGGCACACAGTTCAAATCCACCAGATGCTCTGCTGGAAAAGGAGGGACAATCTCCTCCTGATCTGACAGTATACGCACACAAAAATAATAAAATAAAAAAAGTTTTAAAAAACCAACCAACTTTTAGTCTAACACTGCAGTCAATAAAACACAACCAGGTGGGTTGACACCGTGATGGCAGCAATAGGTTTGAATGTGTCAGAGATTGTGAGGATGGCACAAGGTAGAATAGTGTTCGGATTGGTTGTTCATAAGGATGCTATTAGTCATACTCAACTAAATGGCACATAATAACAACAACTCCCCTGATAAACTCACTAGAGATAAAATCTACATGAG